TCTGGGCTATATCGGTACTCACAAACTCTCGAAAGTAGGGTTTTCTAGAAAACTGTGGTTTTTCGGGCTACTTGTACTTCTTAAAACGATTTTTAAAAATCACTCTTAAGACATGAAACATTTCTAATGATATATTTAAATTCAGCATCGAAAGGCAAACATTTTGAGAAAAAAAATTAAGTCTTCAACTCAAAGTTTCAGCTTTTAAGTTTAATTTGAAATTCAACTGTTTTAAAATTGAAATAGCTCAATTCAGGCAAGGGATGAAACCCTGGTTTAAACGTGGTTGGATAGAGAATTAAAATCTGAACAAACATAGGGGTTTGACGAGATCTCACTATTACGTGATCATGGCTCTTTAGGAGATCTCTAGAAAGTCTCTTTCTAATTTCACTTTCTTTTCTCTATTCTTTAAATTTAAACTTTAACACTGAACTTTTTCGAACTGATAAAGGTCAAAAACAATCCAAATAAGATATGAAGCACTAGCGATACCAGTCTAGAGATCCCCTAAAGAGCCATGATCACGTAATAGTGAGATCTCGTCAAACCTCTACGTTTGTTCAGATTTTAATTTAAGTATCGATATAGCCCAGACCAACTTTCGCGTGTAAGACGCTTATTTTGTTATTTCTCAATGAAAACGAGTGAGAGTTCTCTACGATTGCAGAAAAGAATATTCTGCATCTTTTTATAAGCGCAAATTTTTTTGTGAGCGGTGTTCTTCGAGTAGAAACTGATTTGCAAGAAACTCGTAGCTTTCTAGCTATTTTACACGGGCATTTCCATTTACCCCACTAACTTTCACGTACGTTTCCAATTGCCCCAAATGGGGTAATCGGAAACATTTGAAAATTTCTCAGCGTTTACCTCTTTAATTAGAACTCAGACTAATTAATGAGTAGAGGTTGGAGATCCTCACCATTTGCAGAGCAATAATTGGTCTATTCACCCGTGCAAAAATCATTAATTAGTATGATTAGCTTAACGAGAAAACTGTTTTGTACTAATGAATAATTTCCCGTGTAAAATACATGACGTATCCAATTACCCCATCAATTTCTATTGTTCTTTCCAATTGCCCAAGGTGGGGTAATTGGAAATGTTCGTTAGAGCTTTCAGCAAAAACACCGAGAAGTTCGCCTGGCACACGGAGTTTTTGAAAATGTTTAGATAGACTTATAGAGAACTTCCTCCTCTATCTACCTGTGAAAAGGGCGCAAAAAGATAATTAAAATTAACAAATTTATACAAATTAGAAGTCCAACGAGTCAAAAATCGTTTCCAATTGTCCCAGTTTACTCTACTAACTATCAAGTTGTCCAGAACGTTTTGATCTCTAAGAAAGCATTAAGAACAGTACGCATGTATACACTTATATCGGCTCTTTTTGTTGAACTAAATTACATGGTCTTTCTCTTTGGTTTTGGGCAAGACATTAATCAATTTTCGTAATAATAGCAAAACTTGATTAATTTACCTTGGTTGACTCATTACAGTTTGAAAACAAACTTCCTTTTATTTTTCAAACTCAGCATCTGGTACAGCATTTAGTTCTCTACAAACAAGTATAATTTTTAATTTCAATTTGTTCAATATTCGGTTGATTCCAGTTAGCTCTTATAACGCCCTAACTTTTAATTACAAATACTGGATTGTGACAACAAATAGATTTTTTCAGACGTTTTCTAGTTACATTGAAATCGATCCTGCTAATTTTAGAAAGTAGTGGTGCAATAGAGTTCTTTAATCGCTACATTTTCCTGCATTTGATTTGTATAAGGTGTTGTAAACTTATTTTAAACTCGCAGCAAAAATAGTCGTCTTTCACATTGTAACACAATTGTTGAGGAGTTTTTTGTTTCTAAATATTTTCTGTCTAAAATTTCCATCTTAGAAATTTCAATTTCTGTGTTTTGTAGTTTAGACCTTGCGCTTACCAAGGAAAAAAATAAAATCTCTTGCACCGCGTGTTGGTCCCAAACGTTCTCTGCCCAACTATGCAAGTCTCAGTCCTCGACCTATAATGACTCTGGCAAGGAAAAATGTCCTTGCGATCTACCTAATCATGTCTTTGTAAGTTCAATAACCTTCAAAATCACTGCAGGTACATGTTATCGACCGTTCTAAGTAGTCTCAGACTCCTGGTAACATTTGAGTTATGATTAGAATGATCGGACGGTCAGGAAAAAAGTTTCGAAAAACTTCCGCTTATGTGTTTGCCTTTGCTTCGAAAAAATAATAGTACTCTTTGATAATTCAAGAGCTTTCTGTCGAAAAACAGCACTCTTTTCTCTTTTGAAAGCATTTGGTTTTATCAAAAATCATTTGATAATACTACAAAGTCAGAGTGCTTTGTAGCGCTAACGACGCGAAGAACGCTTCCATTTCGTTCAAAAGTTCTTAAGGAGATCAAGTTATAAAAAAAACGGAGGTGGTTATTTCCGCCCACACTTAAGCACAAAAGAAGCAGCAGATCCATCTGCATACTTCATCATATTATACACGAGACCTTACCTTATCTTTACATATATTAAAAATCAGAAAACTCTGATTTTTAGAGTACTTTGTAGTACTACCGAAAGGAAGAACGATTTCATTTCGTTCAAAAGTTCTTAAGCAGATCACACTTGTTCTGCTTTGAGAGAAAAATATTTCAGGCAAAGAAAGTTTTTAACGGACAGCTGTCATTCCTTTTTTTTGCTTTCAAAAGTAAAACTTTTTAAAATTTTATAAAAGATTCAAAATTAAAGCTGGAACTCTTATTGTTATGCAGTTCGACAGAGCACATTAAGTGACATATACCCACAAGTTATCGAACCAACTGTGTCTGAGAAAATTAACATTTTCCGTTCATTGCAGTCTGAGCCCTTAAACTAATTTCTTGAAAATTATGCAAACACTTTCAAAAAAACGCAGCATTTTGAAGAACAATTTTCGCATGCAAAGTTGTTTAGTATCATCCTCTTCATATCCTAAGCGGATTCATTTCAGTGGAGATATTTTGAAATAATTACACATAAAAAGTTTTGAGCTTTGGATTTACTTAAAACTTACGTAAATTGCATTAACAACAATAAGAAACAATAAGAGTTCCAGCTTTAATTTTGAATCTTTTATAAAAATTTTAAATACAGGATCAAAATCGTATGACATTGGTAAAATTTCTTTTCTCACCAATTACAAGTCTCTTCATTGAAAGCACTGCATGGTATATACAGCTTGATGCGCTCTACAAAGTTATAAAAAAACCGAAGTGGTTACTTCCACCAGCACTTAAGACCGGAAGAAGCTGCAGATCCATTACATACATATTTCACCATATTATAGACGAGACTTTACCCTATCTTTATATATATTATAAAAAATCAGAAAACTCTGACTTTTAGAGTACTTTGTAGTTCTACCGAAAGGAAGAACGATTTCATTTCGTTCAAAAGTTCTTAAGCAGATCACACTTGTTCTGCTTTGAGAGAAAAACATTTCAGGCAAAGAAAGTTTTTAACGGACAGCTGTCATTCCTTTTTTTTTCTTATAGAAACCATCACAACTTCTGCACGGTTACGCAATTTCTATCAACAAGCCAAACAATACATAAAAGCATTTAATCTATTTAAATCGATACCACCATCAACGAACGATCAAGATATACAAAATGAATTAATGTCAACACATCTGTATATTGCACTATTATTTATATCATTCGTTATACTTCTATTCTATACATCACTTACAGCAACAACACAAACAGTAACTGTCAAAGAACCATCAATTACACAATATACACAAATCTATGAAAAATATTCAAAAACTGTGTCTTGCCCATGTTCCACGATAATTGTTCCATACGCTAAATTCTTACAACTTCAACCAACCTATCATCAAATATGTTCATCAGATTTTGTTAAACAAAAATGGTTTGATTATATCGAAAATTATGCTGGATCAAGTAACACTGCTCTTGGGGTACTTGATAATGATTTTCTTTTAACGGGATCATCCAGGATGCAACTACTGAAATCGTTTTGTCAATTGTCACAATCAACAATTATTGATGAAATGCAAGTATTCTATTCTACTGGATATGCTACTGCTACTGTCACACCATTCGAATTATTCTCTAAAGAATTTGATGGAAATATCCAATTATTTATATCAACAACCATTAGTACATTTATACCATTATTACAGCTGATTAGTGGTACAACTCAAGGTAACAGTTTATTATCTATTTTTGAAACAAATTTTCAGTTTACTGTACCTTTTGATTCTCCTGTGTTGAACTTACTACCTGCAGTTTATAATTATACTTGTTCATGTTATGATACATCATTATGTAAAGAAGTCTCAGCTGTTTATTATGTAAAACCCAATGATATTTGGATTAGTCTTGCATATGTTGTTCCTAATTGGTATGTGGGTTGTTATGTACTGGAATTATTATTACAATCAACATTAGAATGTTTTTATCAACAACAATGTTTTGGACAAATGCATTTATACTATCCAGCATTTCCAAATACAAGCGTACTCAATTCATCTATTGAAAGTAAGTATCAATCAAATACAACTATTGGTGATATTGTTTACCAATTGATGGTAGAACAATGGAATCCAAATGTATCATATGATCAGTATTATCACCAATGTCAACCAAAACAATGTACATATACATATGTACAACGATTTGTTCTTATTTACGTTATAACAACAATTATTAGTATTTTAGGTGGTGTTACAAAAGTGTTACAAATAATTGTACCACGTGGAATCAAATTGTTAAGAAAGTATATTTTACCATATGCTAAAAACAGAAAGTTTAATGCGATTGTTCCAGTTTCCGTCCGCGAATGAGCGTCGATAGAAACCAATATGTTGTTATTCATACATAGTTTAACACTGAAGATCAAATTGATATTTAAAAAGGAAAACATAAATTATTTGTGTTGTTTGAAATCATTTAAATTTATGTTAATGTCAATTTTTATGAGAAACAAATTGGGTTTTGATGTTATCCTTTGACTTTTTACTTGATGTCGTTTATTAATGAGAAGGTTTTTGACTGCATCCAGAATGTAGCCATAACAAGGGAGCGAAAGAGGAATTTCTTTGAACATGTTCATAAAACTGGCTATACGATTATTCTGTTGAGCTTTCGATAAGATGCTGGAAATGCAAAATTTGAACAGGTTTTGTTTTTAAGATATTTATACATGATTGGATAGAGAACATCGAGCTGATTATGAAAAACTTAGTTTTTATGGTTCAAAGTCATTTTATAAGTGGAAAAATTTTAAAATACAAAAAGGGTCAAGTTTTTCAAAGGTCGTTTCAACTTCAAAAATGTCAAAGGTTTTCTTTTCTATTATTTCGAAGTTGTAAAATTAATTTTTTTCTGATTCAGCATAAAAGAAACCTGAGCCTTAATAGTATGTTTCAGCAACTTGAAACTCAAAAGCTCGTTAAGTGTCAGTGGATAAACCAGACCAGCTAAAAAGACCTTAAGTCATGTTGTGAACCTATCCGGGTTTTTTACTTGAGAGATGAAGTCAAGTCAGAGTTGTAACCGGACCGGTTGAGTGAGCTGGACCGGCCGGTTTTCACCGGTTTCACAAAGTTGTGCATATTCGTTCATTTTTCATCAGAAAGATACTATGTATGGGTGCTTAGTAGTTTTTTTAAAGGAAAGAGAGAGTGACAATTTTATTTGAAATGTAAATTTCTTCTTTTTATTCTTTCAATTTGTTTTCAAAGACAAAGTCATATTATTTATTGTTTAAAATATCTTAGCAATCGGAACATTGTCACGTATTGGCGTTTATATGCTTTTATCTTTTTTCTTTAATGTTAATCTAACTTTTTACTTTCGATATGCCGATACCGGAGCTTCCTAACCCAAATTCGTCTTAATTGGCTTTGTTATTTGACATAGTGAATCTCTTCCCAAATTTATTTTCAAATTATTCGTGACGTTTCGTCATTTGACAAATGACTGCTTGAGACAGACTGTTACATTTAGATACTAACTATACATATACTCTTCGAAACAATACAAATTAAATAAAACTAATTTGACGGTTCTTTTTCCTGTTTCTTCTTTCTGTCTTAACTGTTTAATAATGATACGGAACAAGACGGTAAATAACAAAAGAAATGGAAATTAAATACCGACTTTTGTGGGAAGAAACCTTATCTCATGCAGAAGAAACTCAATCTTGAAAATATTGGTTGGTTTTTCGGTATTAGAATTCCAGTATAAGCATTACAGAAAAGACAGGCGTAAAAATCTGTAGGTGTTCAGTACAAAATTTTGTCCCTAATATCAATGTTATTACTTGAAAAAACTTGATGAACTCGTCGGTTTTTCACTCAAAAAATGATTTCGAAACATAAAAGCTAACTTTTCATAATGAGCCCGATGCAAGGGGGAAACAGCGGACTCCAGACTTCAACACGCCAACTGACTCCACTAGACTCCAAATGACAGCAGA